TCCGCAACTCCACCGAATAGATCCTCAACCCTGCCGCCTACTCCCTTCACTGCTCCACTAGCCAAGAGAGGGGACACAATAGTCCACAGATAAACCTTCAGACCTGTAAATCCCTCGCCCCACTACACCGTTCAAGGAGTAGGCAGTGCAGCAGCCAACAACCGAGCCTCCAAATCTGGTGGCATGTCTACAGTCACTCCACCGGGTCTCGCATGCAAGGCTTTGGTTGGCAGGAAGTCCGTAATCCCGTGGCTAGCTCCCTTGCTACCGTACCCGACACTGCGGTAGTACTTCAGCTAGGTAGGTAAGTCTGCGATCCCCCCCCCCCCTCTATCTCGCCGCTCGCTCCATCTTTCTTTCCACTTGATAGTGCACTCAGTCGAAACTCCTGGTCAGGCCCTGCCGACCACTTGACGCAGAGCTTTAAAGGGCACGAAGCACCCAACAGCTGTGTCCCCGGGTACTACGTTTACGTAACTTATAGGGGAGGAGAAGCTCCTACCCATAACGTGGCCAACGCCGAGGTGGGACTATCGCTAAAACATAACCAGGGGCATCCTTTACTAGGATGGGCAATGCCTTGGCCAACAAACGGAGCTTCACCCTGCGGCCCGCCTCACACCACCCCTTCGACCGACAGGGCGAGTAGCACCTCCTGTCGCTAGGTAAGTCTTCAGCCTGCGCCCGTTGTTCCTCCGCCAAGCTCCGACCAACACCAAGGGCAAGTCAGAATGAATCCGTCGCCCGAGCCCGGAAAGATACGCTGCTACTCGTCATGCACGCAGAGGGGTTGGGAGGAGCTTCTGCCATCAACTGAACTGAACACTGCACCAGGCAACAGGTAGGTCTTCCGCCCCGCGTCTGGCCTCACGTTACCCCCGTCGAAATGGGAGGTAAATATTGAATGAATCTTCCACAAGAACGTAGGAATATACATACTTTCTTTACACCGCCGATACCTCCACGCAGCCCTATCTCTCCTAACTCTCATTCTACCAACCCAAAGCCAAAACTAACCTTGCCATCGCATTCGCGTTCCCCCAAAACCGCGCGTTAGCGTCTTCGTTCGTTCGTTTTTGATAAAAAACATACGAGATCAGCATTTATCCCCTCGTTCTCTTCTATGCCGTCCATAGCTCGGCGCACCCCCTTTTCTCTTCTAGCACCTAGTTGCTAACTCTAACATCGAATCTAACCCGGCTATCCCACTCGCATGCCCACAACCCTACCCATAATAGCCACTTTCCCGGCTCGATTCCGTTACGAATCGAGCAAGCTAAGCTCCCCTGACTGCGCCCGACCCCCTCCTCTCGTCGCTTCGCACTCACCCGGTCGCGACCCCCATCCGGGTTCGTCCACCTCTTTACTCACCTAGCGCTGGTCACTCCGCTACGCTCGCCCACTGCCTCCTTGTTGTCTCGTCCGTCCTTCATCCACGACCTGGCTACCTCGTACCACCGCTCGTCACCCCTCTGGCCTTAGCTGCTTCGTCTATCGCCTCTCTCCCCCCACTACTCCGTCTCACCTACACGTACCCGGCTCRCTCTCCAGCCCAAATCCATTCTCCTTCACCATCGCGTTGTCGTCAACCGCCAACACCCCCATGGCGTGGTCACCGGCACCCCGGACGCCGAGCAAATGGTCTAACAGTCGTCGACTGCCAAGAACCAAACGCCCGGTTGTCGGCTCCYCCGGTTTTCTCTCCTCCCCTCCGCGCGGGGGATCGTACCGACCTCCCCCTTCCCCGTCACCCCTGGGGACTTCGGCCTATCGGACCTCGGGGGTTCGCGGTGCACCCCCACTCGTACCGCCGTAGTGCACTCACCTTCGGCATACCCCTGGCCCCAGACCCCATCCTGATTCACTTGCCCTCTTATCTCCCGCTGTTGAAACCGTCGCGCTGGCCTAGCGCTCGCCACCACTGTTGCGTGCGCCCGSCTTCTTCCAAACCAAGGCAGCGGAAGCAACCAGCCAGAGCGCCTCGGCTTCTCCGYGYCCCATCTGCGCCGTCCCTGCGCAGGCGCTATGCGAATCTTCTCTGTATCGTTCCAATTTTAACGGATGTCCYGAAGGACCCGGSCGCGGTGATACCCCGCCCGCGGCTCTTCAAGTCTCAGACCGCCAGCCGCAGTGCCMCGCCCCAGGCCARAACGRCCCATGAATAATAAAATAAAGAAGYAAAARTAAAATAACGAAAAATAATAAAACATCCTCAGGCAGGGTGCGGGGACKGCTAAAACCCCCGCTGGTCCCGCGGACCAGATCCGTCGCYKCCCCTATCAACAAAACCGAGGGGGGATAGCCCCGTCGGGCCCTCAACCCCCTTAGCTTCCTCCACGATGCTCTGCCGCTGCTGCGCCGACGCTCGGTGGCCTCGATCCCTGCATCCCCGTAACAATAGTCCAGTATTGTAACCAATAGGGCTAAGCCCAGACCTAGCATAATAACGCGCAAACTTCAATATGAAGTAGCGCCTCACCGTCCCTAGGCTTGGGAAAAACAGCCCAGGCCTTCTCTTCCTTCCTACAACTAGCGTGCCAACACCCGGCACCCGTGCTGACCTACTTGGGCCCCGCCGTGGCCGCCCCGTGCGCCTATCGGCGTGCCAGTCTCACCGTCGTTTGCGCATGCCAACCCAAAAACGAGCTCTCGTCCGCTAAACAAAGCCGTAGCATGATCCAGGTCGATTGACTAAGCCGGCCGCTCACTCAATCAGAAAATCACACGCGCGCCTTAAAACTGCGCGCCCACATACCCTCTAACTTCAGTCAGGACAAGCCCGGGACGCGGCCATACCTCGCTCGACTTATGCCGACCAAGCCCATTCCTTTTCTGTCACTTGAAAAAACCAGGGCGGATACCCTTGTAAGGGTATTCGCGCCGACAACCTACCGGACTATATTAAGCGACGTCCCCGTCGCCACGCCAAATCAGAAGTTATAAATTCATCCACACTCCAAACGCTGACGAGAATGGAACCAATCCGATTAGCCGACAGACTCACGGTTGAGGCCTCCAACACTCCATGCCGACATAACTATATGCTGTCAGGGTTTCAACCTGGGTTTCCAGTGTCCTGACATTAGGATTCCGGTGTATTATGCATCGATACTACATCATAAGTTCCAAAGGCCACCTCAAACCATCCTCTTCCCTTCGTCCTAGACAAACGCCAGCTTCTCGTTGAGTGTACCCGTTAAACTCTCTCTCATACGCAGAGTCATATGGGGACGCGGGCTTTAGACGAGACCTTAGAAGGCACTCCCGCCTCCCTTGCGAAAATCCTTACAATCAAATACATATATATATATATATATACATAAATCTCCCCTCGACTCTTTCTGCGGTCTAGTATAGAAACGCTAGGTCTCCATCCTGACCCACCATAGTCTGGTTGATCGAGCCAGATCTACGGCCTACCGTGTTGTTATCTTAGCGGCAGTCCCTTCGTTGGTTATGCAACAATAGGTTTTCTCCTGATAGGCATTCAATCAGGGCGCCCAAACGACTCGACTCGTATCCCCCAGCATTCCACCAGAGTAATTTCGAATGGGGCGTGCATAACCTCTTAAACTCTTACTCTGCTGGTAGACGTGGGCCTGCAGCCAGGTTGTGCTGGCTTGCAGCCATCCAATAAGGGTTGCGCCCTAGAGGTGCTAACCTTTACCGTTTAGCTTGGTATTCCCTAATATGCCTTAGGATTAGCACAGGTGTCTAGGCGGTGCGTCGCAAAACAAACTCACAGGGCCACTGCAGGACAACGCAGGGATCTGCCCTACTTTTAAGGGTATCTTACCAGCCCCCTATGGGACAATATAGAGGGCACGGCCCCTTCTCACAATCACAAACAATTTCACCGCTAGGCTCACACAAGGCCGTGACCTACTTACTTGATCAGAGACAGCGGACCACACATCCCACGACATCTTTATGCACTGACTTGCGACCTTCTAAGTTCCACTAATGATTCCAACTCGTAACCCTGGTTCCTCTCGTCAGACTTTATCATTCAAACATTGCTTACCATGTCCTTAAATCTATCACCCATTTTTCACACGAAGGGGGTTTCTCTCAACAGGTCTCCCAACCACCCCTCTCTTTACAGGATGGACTATCACGCGACCTGGATTACACTGCTGTCAATAAACAACATCCCCACCTTCCATAATCCGAGGGGGTCTCAATTATAGAACAGCTCAACTGAGGGGCCTTCTTATGGGCCGTCTCCCCAACTTAAACGCAAAACAACTCAAACTAAGGGGCCAACTTATGGGTCCCCTTCACAGCTCCGCCATAAACATTCGGCATGGTAAGCATCTGAGCCTTATAGGCTCGCAAGACCCCTCAGGGTCCTCATACATCTGTTACAAAAACGACCGCGCTGCCTTCTCTTATACCCGGCCGTTCCGCCCGCCCATGGGCAGGCCGCACGAGTATACCGAAGAGTAGACGGCAATCATAATCACACAATACACATACATGAGATGTATCCCACACATCTCTCACACAAAGCCCTCATTCATTGGGATAAAGCCACACGTGTGAGAGTGATCGTGATCGTCACAAGAATAAGTCCCACAGAGTCTGGAATCAAATATATACTCGGGAGCAAAACATCTCCCTCAAGTCCCAATACGACGCTCAACTCAAACCCTCAACACACAACTCGTAGGGTGTATTTGGGAACAAAATGCCTGCCCCGAAAACACTCAAATGCTCACTCCACTATCTCACTCCGCAGGATAAACTCACGTCCCTAGCGTTATGAACTCTAAGAACCTACTCAAAGATACAAGTAAGAGTATCTGAATCACACAACTGAAAATTCAAGTCACGTATGTCGTAGGTATCATACAACTAAGTCTCATCCCCTAGACCGTATCACACATAAAGCTCAAGCCGATCACACACCACCACCTATGTATATATAACTAGACGAGACTCGCCTGACTAACTCAGAGTATGTACACCCCTATCACGGCCTCTGCGTACAGAGGAGCTCTAATCCTGCTGTCATATAGACGGACCAGCCCCTACTCACTCATAGCCTCCTGGTTCTGTCTATATAACTGTGCCCTACCCCATCTGGAGCCCGCTCTACCACTCGCCCCTGCCTGTCATACATTCTTCCACCACTCTCTGTTACTCTCCCAGCTGCCTTGTCCTTAAGGAACTTCGGGCCTTCAAGAGCTCTATGTACGCCATCCTTGCAGAAGAAGCACTGATCGTTTGATCTCCCCCGACACCTCCTCTTCTTCTTCTGGGACCCAGGCAACGGCGGCGTCTCGCTAGTTTCCCGGCTCATCTCATGGCTCTGGGGCATACTCCATGACTCTGCCGGCCCCGCCTCCATCATCTGGGTACTTGGCCCTGCTAGCGCCTCACCTCCCTCGGGTCGGTACGCTGGAGTGTCCAATCTCAGTGGCCTACCCTCGCGGATTCCTCCCATCGCAGTCGCCCCCTCGTCCCTATACAGGTCAGAAGGCTGGGGAGTCACGGCAGTCGCTGGCTCCCTCATAACTTCATGCTGCTGCTTTGAGATCTGCTCTCCTGAGTCAGCTCCAGTAGTCCAAGAGCCTAACTGCGTCCTCAACTCCCCTATCTCTGGCACACGCTCTGGGGTCTTCTGTCTCTGAGGCTCTCCTGACGGCATGTCCAACTCCATAACTGCCACTAACTCATCCAGTCGAGACGCCTCTCCCCCCATTGCCTCCGACTCAGTGGATGCTGCTGCTCCCGTAAGGGCACCCTCCTGCACCTCCAAAAGGATCGTAGGGGACTCCTTTGTGGACCCCCCTTCCTCCACTGGAGGTTGGGGTCCCTGCGCCGGCTCGTCCTCAGGGATCTCAATCGTCATAGGGGTGGCCTGTTGTGAGGCCAACTCCGTAGGAGTCCTGAAGCTGAACCTCCTCTCCTCGGCCTCCCGCCTCGCTGCCGCCTCTGCTGGGTTCAGGAATACCTTCCCCATTCCCTCTTACCGTGGCGTCTCCGTTGTTCCTTCCTGGCCAAAGAGCCCCTGTACCTCCTTCCCCTGAATACCATACCGGCTCTGCTCCGTCCAGTCGACCACCTTAGTGGCCGAGAGCCTCTCCACCATCGCCGCCATGTCCTCAAGCCTCTTCTCCCATTTCGCTTCCTTAACTTCCATACGGGACCTCCATGCTTGATTCTCTGCCCTCTCTTCTGCCAGTTGGGTGGACAACTGTCCCACCTCTAACCTCGAGGCCGCCAACTCATCGCTGAGCATGGAGTACCGTTGGAAGGATGAGACCGCCACCTCACCTATCCTCCTATCTGCATGCTCAATCTCCATCCTGGCGGCTGAAAATCCCAAGTCCTCTGTCTATCGTGCCTCGTCCAATCTTGCACTCCCCTGTCCTACCTCTCGCGACCCCAGGCGAGCCGCATCCCTCTCGCTCTCATAGCTGGCCCAAGCCTCACTAATCCTCTGCTCGCTCGTCGGAGGGTCAATTGGCGACTTTGGCGCTTCTCCTGCGGCCTCCATCCTAAGCTTTTCCTGGTATAGCTCTTCGAGGCGTACCTGCACCCTTGCGCGCTTCTCTTCTTTCATCTCCCCTGGTGGCCTCCCTGTCCTCGCCTCGTGACCCTCTCGCAGTGGATCTCTCTCACTAGTCCCCTCCTCTGCGGGTGGCGGCTCTGGTGGAGGCTCTCCGAATGTCGACGACTCCACACCCATGCATGCACCTGTAGACTCAGTTAGTTGCGGCGCCACAGTAGTAGGTGTCCTCGCCCTCTCGCCCCTCTCTGGCTCCGCCTGCGTCGGGGGTGGCGTAGTAGCTTCCGGTGGGGGCCCCAACACCTCCTTGCTGTCCAGCTTAGGAATTCCTTCAGGCCAATACTGCCGCGCCTGTTATGGAATCGGGGTAGGAGGAGGGGTATCATCCCCAACAGTGATAACCCCCTCAGTCTACGGCCTCTCGGGTTTGCGAGACCCCGCCTCAGGCCCCGGCTCAGGTGGCTCCTCCTCTGGCTCATCCTCTACTGGCTCATACCATGCCGGTCCGCTCTGGTCCGCTCCCAGCTGTGACGCCCCCCACTGGGACGCATCGAGGTGCCTCCAACCTGTCGAGCGGCGTTCTCAACGACACCGCCTCTCCCCCCTCTGGTAACGTCGGCGACGGGCCCCGTAGATCACTGCCCGTAATTCTGCGAAACTCCACCTGCTCGAGTCCATAGGTAGGGGGTAGCTCCGCCGCCTGAGCTGGCCCCGCGGCCTGAACTGACTCCACTGCCTGGGCAACCTCTGCTGACCCTTCTCGCTGTGCCAAGGCCTTTCGGCCCCCTCTGGTTGTAGTGGTCCCTCTCGCCTCTGGGCCCTGTGGCCTCTTACTCCTTTGTCGTCTCTCCACCCTGGGCTCTGGTCTCTCGGGCTCCGGTCATCGAAATGCCTGTCTCAACTGGGCCTGGCAGTCCTCCCAGTCGTGTGCCCTGTTCCGGATCTGCCTCGCCAACGATCTCTCCGCCCTCCGTCCCCAGAGGGGCAGCATCTGCATTCACTCCTCCTGCCCAGTCCCCTGGTCGCGCATATACTGCTCATAGGCCGGGATGAACTCCTCCGCATTGCCTTCCTCCAATCGAATAGGCAATCCATCCGGTCCCATCGGCGAAGCCCTCAGCATCTGCATCCTCGCCTCCACATCCTGCCATGTCAGCGCCTCCTCTCGAATGTGCGCAATAGGTTCCTCGAAGCGCCCAACTCCCCTCAGGTTCCGTATCCTTTCCAAGGTAGACCAGCCCTCCCGTGTCACATGTGCCTGGTAGGAGTCCAGAAAAAGCTCTATGTTACCGTCATCGAAGATAGGCGTAGACTCCCTCCCAACCGGTTTGCGCGAGTCATCCCCTCCTGATGCTCCCTGAGGCCTCTGTCGTGGCCGCGCGCCCCTCCCTCCCTTCTGCATGGCTGTCTTCGAAAAGTCAGACCTGCACAACAGGCGAGAGAAAGCAAGCAGGCACACAACAAGGTTAGCCTTCGGCTCCTCAAGTTTTTATGACAATACACATGCCTTTTCCTACTCCCTCACCTGCCCTGACCATAACATGCGATACCTCAAGGACCAGTTTACTCTGAGAAGGGTAGAATTCTTTACCTATTCCCTGGCCATGAACTTCTTCAGCCTGGTCCCTGATACCCAATCCTGCCAGCCTGTCCCGTCCAGCTCCTCGATCTAATAGGCCCCAAATTCGCCGTACCGCAATATTCTATAGGGGCCCAACCATCTCTTGTCAAGCTTCCTCGACCATTGTTTTTCCAAAGAGGAGTCGTATAATATTACGACATCCCCTACCGACAATGGTTCCTTTCTTACCCGTGCCATCTGGTCCCACCTCATCTTATCTTCCATGCGACTCCTTTCCACCTGACCAACGGCCTCTCGCAATCTTTCTTCGGCCGCCCCCACTTGCCGCGCCCGAATATCGAGCAGTTCTTCGAAAGACAGGTTTACCTCCAGGTCCTGGCGCCTCCACGTCTTCATAAAGCTTTCTATGGGAAAGGTGGCACGCCTCCCGTACCATAGCGTGGCTGGCGCGTACTTGGTGGTCTTCTTTACAGTAACATTCTCCACGAAGAAAGCTGCCCGTAGGAACTTCGACCACTGACCAGGTTTGCCCTCTGTCCACTTAGCCAGAAGATTCATGATGGTACTGTGCCCCTTCTCCACAGGTGCGTTCGCTTGAGGGTGTGTGGCCGTAGTATAGTTGGCCACTACGCCATGCCTTGCAAGCAATGTCCTCACCTCATTGCAGGTAAACTCCGATCCTCGATCCATCACGAACTCCCTAACAAAAGGATATCGCAAGTAATACTCCTTGATGCAATTTGCCAAAATCGGGTCAGTCTTTGTCCGGATAGCTCGTCTGTCCACAAACCCAGTAAGGTTATCCCGTGCATCGAAGATGTAGTTACACCCATTCTCCCCTGCTAGCATGAATAACAGGTGCAGGTGTACGACCGCACCCACCTCCCTTTCTAACCTTGGGTGTAGGGGTTCTCCAAGCCTTTGCGCTGACCTCTCTTGGCAAGGTATACAGGACCGGCAGTACTTGATAACCATCTTCAGCATCCCGTCGCAATGGTAGAGCTCGCTTATCTTCGCGCATGTGGCACCTACTCCCCTGTGCCCCCTTGCTATACCATCGTGTAGGGCCGCTATGATATCAGTTTGTCGGTTTCTCCCACATACGATCCCCTTGGGGTTCCCGACCTGCCGCTTTATAAACAAGTGGTCGTCTCTTACCACATAGAGGTGCCTCATTTTCTGTGCCTTGGCACTTGCATCTCTATCCCTCATCTCACATGATAGGAGCAACCCCAATTCCCGGTAGATCCCATCGTACTCCTCCGCCCGAAACGCCTCTTTGATTTCTCCTTCCTCGAATTCATCGTCTCGGCTTTCAGGAACCAGAATCTCATTCTCCTCGTGACTGAACGAGCCCTTCCGGTCGAAGTCTCCTTGGAAGAGCGTATTGGTGAGCAGGTATATCCCTCCCATTAACTGCTCACGCTCCTCTACCTGAGTGGGGCCTTCCTCTATTGTCCTCACTTCCTCCACCAGACTGTGTGTACCTGCTAGCGCCAACTTCATCATTCAACCAACATCCTTACTTCTTCACGGATCCTCCTCCTGAAAGGGCTTGATGACTAACTCTTCCTTTTGCTCGTACTCCTTTGGTGCCCCCCACGGATCCTCCTCCTGAAAGGGCTTGATGACTAACTCTTCCTTTTGCTCGTACTCCTTTGGTGCCAGCCATATGGGGTGACTGACGCAACTGGGCACTCGCAGGGACCATTCGTTTATGTGCAGGCGGACGTCCTCCTCTTGATCCAAAAACCCATCAACTGGCGGCGTGTCTTCTATCGATTCCTCGTCCGATCCGTCCCAGTTGATGCGGCTTAACCCATCCGCCCTGTTCTTGTTCCCTGGGATCCTTTCCAGCTCGAAATTAAACATCCAAATGTAGGTCAACCATCTTGCGACGGTTGGGTCAAATGGAGTATAATTCTTCAGGGAACATGCCAGTGCAATAGGGTCCATCCTCAAGATGAGCCTTCTGCCAAAAACATAGTTCCGGAAGGTCCTTAGGCAATGGAGTACCGCCAACGCCTCCTTCTTGAACTGAGAATAGTTCCTTTCAGTTGTATTGGGGGTACGACTTTCGAATCTTAGCAGCCTCTCCTTCCCCTCAGTATCTGCCTGAATCAGGACTCCTCCCAAGGCAGTTGGCCCAGCGTCCGTCTCAATGACGAATGGTCTTTCCTCTGTGGCCTCATAGTTTGGCGTCCCCAATACCAAGCCTCCTTCCTTAAACTCTCCCTTCATCCTACCGACCGCCTCTTCCTGGTCTTCGCCCCAGACCCATTCTTGATCCTGGCGCACCAACTTCCTTAAATGCTCCGTCTTCGTGGCAAAGTCCTTCACAACGCTCCTCCAAAATCCGCACGTCCCAAGGAAGCTCCTTACATCTGTTATCGAGCGGAAGGGCACTGGCCACTCAAGAATCTTGTCTGTCTTCTTTACATCAGACCTTCGCCCACCCTCATTACAAACAAAACCTGAAATCGTGGCCTCCCTCATACAATGTTTCGACTTGGGGCCGCTCACCGTCAGGTTATGTTCCTCCAATAACCCCAGAACCTGGTCGATGTCTTGGACATGTTTCCAGACGAAGCGCCGCACACCGGACATCACTTCGTCTTCCTCCTTCTCCTTCGGACCTTTGACCGCCAGGTCATCGATATAGGGCTGAGTGATATGTGGGCTGACCGTCTGCATGGCTCTGATCACATGCCTTTGCACCATCGCCACTGCATTCGTCCAACCTTGAGGCGCCACGTTCATATGAATCAGCCCTCTGGAAGTGTGCATTGCCGTTACGGGTCTGTCTGGCGGGTATACGGGGAATTGGTCATACCTCGAGTAGAGGTCTATAAGCGAGATTATAGGCCTCCCTGCACACGATTCTGACAATGCGTCCGCGTTCGGCAATCCTCCCGCGCCTCGCACTGTCACCGCATTTAGCCGTTGCAAGTCCTGTACCCACCTTAGCGTCCCATTTGGTTTAATAAAACAAAACCAAGGCGACGCATACGGCCCACTGGAATAATCGGCCACGTGCGTCCGCATCTTGCCGTCCAGGTAGTCCACCACCATCTTTTCCTCGTCCGGGTTAGGGTACCGCGCGCCCCTTAGATTCCATGACTCATGTGGGACCGTGTGGATCCTGATCGTCGGGATCTTATCCACATCCAGCCTCCCACGCTCGTCGTCGTTGAATGCATATGCGCGGTGCCTTTTCTTCATCAGCCCCACCATCAACGCTCTCTCCTGGGGCGACAGAAAGTCGGGCTCCCCAATTATCAGTTTCCCCTCATTTTCGTCGTTGATACGGCACGACCCGGTCAACGCGTGCTCCCGCATACGCCGTATCAACCCTCGCTCCCGCTCGTAGTAGGCTTCCTCATCCGCTGCGATGAGCACGGGAACTGGGCGACACTTCTTATCTATGGTCTTGTACTGCCTTTGGGAACCCTGCTTAAGCCCTCCCCTAAAAAAGGCCGACTTGTCGCTCGGGCCTGGGCCATCGCAGGGCCTCCCCTCCCTCCCGGGAGCCGATATACTAACTCAACCTCCCCCACCCGAGGGTTCTCCAAAACTTGTTCCCTCAATGCCTTAATGGCCTCCGGATCCGCCATGTCATGAGCCGATACCACCTCCATGGCCTTATTCACGTCCGTGAGGCTCAATGTCATCACCTCAGCCCTATCTTCCTCCTCGGGCACTTCCCAAAGCCGTCTCCGCTCGTTCTCTGATTCCTCAAAGGTGAACGAGCCTAGATTGGGCCTATTCCTCCCGCTCCCCGGCCCCGTGTTTCGGCAGGTGATAACTTCATAATTCCCACACGCCGGGTCGCACAGGAGCAGGATCATTGTTCCGTCGTGATTGTTGAAGATCAACATTTCCATCCGGCACAAGAACGACCGCCCCAGAAGGATGGGGTGATCGACATCGGGCATAACGAAAAAGCAAGTCCTGGCTCGCACCTTTCCAATCTCTATAATCACATTTGACGTTGTGCCGCAAAAGGCGGCCTTGCAGTTAGCGCCGTGCAGCATGCCATGGTCCGAGCGGTTGATCTCCATGCCTATCACCACCGCCTCCTTCTCCCTAATGATGTTCATCTCTGCGCCCGTGTCCACCATCCCAGTACACTTCTGATTCCTTATCACCAAATCCACCTGCCCGCACGCCACACATTTTCAATCCATCCTTGTCCCTTCCTCAGTCCACTCCACCTCTCTAGGCAGGACCGTACTCAGATGGACATTTGGCACCAGCCTTCGCGACAGTCGTCCCTTCAACTCACCACGGAGCCTTGGCGCCGAAGCCAGGATGTCCGTCAGGTTCATCAGATCATTGTGGCCTTCCAGGAGCTTGTCCACCATCCGCTCCACATCAAAGCCTTCCTCCATCCGGACCGTATACTTCTTCCTCTTGGGCACGCTGTCAGGCAGACTTGGCTCGGCCTCCTCCCGGGCTCCTCTCTTTTTGGCCCTCAGCTCCGCGCGCTGACCCTCCTCTTGTCGGAGCCTCTCATCCTCTTCGTCGTCATCCTCTTCCTCTTCCTCCGGGACTTCCACCACCTCCTTCCTGTGTCTTGGCTCAGGCTCCCCTCGAGGAGGTGCCTGACTGGGTGCCTGATTGGGTGCCTGATTGGGTGCCTGACTGGGCTCTTGGCTAGGCCCGGCCTTATTTTGGCTTCTGGTCTGAGCCGCCTGTGGCACCCTCCCATACGACGTGGGGGGTCTATAGGCCATACCTGACCTAGGGCCCGTCCCTACGGTCGCCACCCTTGGGTACCCTTGTTGTCCTGGCGAAGGCTCAGGTCCGGAGTCGTAGAGGAAGACCTCAAGCAGGTTGGCCTCCCACTCTCGGGCTTCTTCACACAGGGCATGCAACTTCCGCTGGTATCTTCCCACCTTTTCCAGCAGATCTTCCATCCTCCCAGGAGGGCCATGTCCGACTCTCCTTCGCCTTCCTGCCCCTCGTCATCCGATTCGACGACTATTGGTTCCTCCCTTATAGTCCCTGCCTTTAGTTGCTGAATGACCTCCTCACTATCCCCTACAATCTCCTCGACTCTTACGATCGGCTCTTCCTTCTCCTGCCACATCCTAAACACTGTCGGGGGTGTTGTCGGTCCTGCTGCTGCTCGTCGGAGGGCCTCCTGCCTGATTCCTCCCGGGGTCCTGGGGTCGATATGCTCACCCCACTTGTCATATATATCCCCGTCCATACAGGAGGAGATTAACCCTGACAATTCATCCTCCCGCCGCCACTCGCAGAACCGCACAGTGTGGCCTACATCGCCATAATGCCAACAGGTGGCATTTCGCCAATCAAAGCGGGGCCTCCCATACCCTTGCCCCACTTCCTGGCCGCCCCGACCGCCTTAGTTCTGGCCCCTTTGACCATTCCAACCACCCCCACGACCCCCACCATTTCCTCCCCGGCCTCGGCCGCCACCTCCTCGACCCCCTTGACGTCGGCCTCCATTGCCTTGTCCGCCTTGTCCTTGGTTTCCTCCACCGGCCACGCTAGCCTGCGAGGCCTGTTGGGAGGGAGGTGGTTGGGCCACAAACTGACCCTGGGTTGCGGGGTAGCTTGGAGGGCCCATACTTGCCGCCGGACCCGCATAGGGGACCATTTGTCCGGGTTGAGTTTGACTACCTCCACACGAGGTGCAGTGATTGCAACTGGGCCAGGATGTAGGCTGACAATGCGGCACCCAGTGCCCACAGGCTGACGGCGGCCCCATGTGTGAGGGCCCTGCTGACGTCGGCACCGTCGTGGTGGTAGGTGGTGGGGCAACAACAGCTTGCGGGGCTTGCCCTTTTCCAGATCCTTGGCCTCCCGTCAGTAAATTGCGCTGTTTCCTCTGGGCCTTAGTCAGGATCTGGGAGCCCGTCTCCTCTCCGCCATAGTCCTCGTGCCCCGCCTCTCCATCCACCGCTCATGATGCCCGACCTTGGGCCACGGTCACCCCTCTTTTCCGCACCTCGACCTCATCGTCATATCCCAACGCCGCCAGTACGTCCGTGACAATCTTCTTTACCCCCGGTGTCCCAGACGCGTTGGCGTCTCTCTCCTTCCTCTTACGTCTTTGCAACCGTACCTGGTGCTCCTCCACCTGATCCAGACTCCCCTCTTCCACTCCCTTGTCGATAGTGGCCCAGGTGAGCTTCTCACTCCCTCCCCCATGGCTCGTCTGTTCTGAGGCCTCCGAACCCGTGAGCAACCCCAGAAAGATGGCACATTGCGCCTCCTCTGACATCCCGTGCACCTTGTTGCCTTCTTCTTAAACTTGTGCACGAAGGCCCTGATCGTGGAGAAATCCTCCTTATTCATTGCCTCCAAATCCGCCGTGGTCAGTAACCCATCTCCCAGCCTGTACTTTCTCCGCATCAGGTCCCCGAACCTCGCCCAACTACCATTAGCTGCATCCACGACCTTGCCCACCTCCTAATGGTGGCTATGAAGGACATATCTTAAGACTCGCTGGAGCTTAACCTCATCCGACAACCCTACCAGTGCTTGCTCCATCAGTTCCAACCAGTCGGATACCCGCTCTCCCTTGAAGTGGAAAGTATCAACCTTCGGGACATTGCTTGGCGCTCTCTCGCGCTTATCCAGGGCGTCTATAAGGTCGTCGATCGTTATGAGCCTTCTCCCACCGTCTGCCATTTCCTCTGGCATTATAACTGACTGCCTTCGGCTTCAACCCCCCCCCCTGTTATAAAAGACGATAGGACAAAAGGTTCCATTCAGCAGCCCTGTCCACCACGAATCTATTGGGCTAACCACTTAAGTACCCGACATTCTAGACCTGACGGACATCCTACTTTCTATCTTTTCTAAACTCACCTAGGTAAGGTTCGTTCTTAAAATAAAAATTGCTCACCTATTCACCTTATCCATGCCACCAATCAAGCCACCAATCAGATCAACATCCACACTCACACAGCCACATAGATTACTACACGATCCACCTCATAGCTCTGCCCTCATCCACCCATGTGCCTAATTCTCCCTCATTCCTGTACCCGGATGTCGTTCCACCAGGGACAACGGTAGGCTTCCGTTATCCCCGGCAACGGCGCCACCTGTCGGGCGCATCGGTCGCACGCGGCAGCGCGGGACCCTCTCAGCCGCGTCACGCAGGAGTTGGACCAACCTCGTCGCGAACACACAAATGGAGCTTCCTTAGGCCGCTCCGGCCGAGTGC